TGCATTTGGACCTAATGATTCCTTCCCCAGCCCCCTCCAGACACGAAGGGCTACAGTAGCCATAATTCCTTAGCCATAGGGCTGTGGATTTGGGGAATGGTACTGCAGCGGGCACCAGCTTGGGAGCGGCTGATTTAGGACTTGGCTTTTCCAGCCTGGGTCCCTCACACGAAGGGTACAGCTTCGTGCCATTTGAAAGCGGATGGGACTTGCCACGTCTCTCTCTCTCTCTCTCTCTCTCTCTCTCTCTCTGTCGCTTCTGCGAGTTTTGCCCTTGGGGATGGTTCAGTCCGTGACTCGCCCAGGCCAGCCCCCGTCCTCTGACTGCTTCCATCAGAGCACTCCGAGACCTCCCTGGCAGTTCCACGGTTTTCTTCTACTTCTTCTTTTATACTTTTATCAAAACAACTACTTAATTTCGCCGGCTTGTCAGCACAGCCAGATTGGGCTGGAGAGGATGAAGCAGAAGCCTGAAATATCATCGCAGGGGACAAATCAATGGCAATTTATGTCTCTCTGGAGCCTGGGGGCAGCCCGGGGATGCGAGGCGATCGGTGTGACTGAAGAGCGGCTGGGAAGAGGAGTGGGCCTCCTTCCAGCGGCAGCCTCCCCAAGCCCCCGACTTGCAACTGGAAAGCAAGTGGCTTGGCTCAACTCCCAAGGGAAAGATGCTCGGCCTCCTCGGAAGTGTCTCAACCGCCATTGCACCACCGGACTGGAATCCTTCCGAGGCGGGGGGGAGCTCTGTGCAGCCCTTCTTTGCGAGGGGAGAGCCCTCTGCACCAGCTCAGAAGCACTGTCATTATTGCCAGAACGCTGCACGGTCTGTCCGACAATGCACGCAACTGCGGGGAGCTATCCGTGGTCTCGAACTGCCCGGTCAGGACCACGGATAGTTCCTCAAACAGCCGGACTGGCGCCCGTCTAACCCAAGCGATAGGGGACCTGGCACCTTCCAGAAGTTTGGGTTACTGCTTCCATAATCCCTGACCTTTGGCCATGCTGCCTGGGGCTTATGGGGACTGTAGTCCAAACAACTGGACTAGGTTGCCTACCCAGAACACCTAATTACTAAACGTTGCTGGCTCTGAATTTTGCACCTGCAGCCCCTCCGCCAATTGGGATGTGTTTATTTTTCGCTCTGTTTGCATAACTCATTCGGAAATCCTTGCTCAGCTGCAAAATTAATTCTGACTTTGCCAAGGGAATCCAAGCTCCTTCAACCCCTGGCAGCCACATTCAGTTCCTCACCATTGCTTTGGCTAGTGAGATTCAGGTGGGAAGTGGCCGACGCAACGCCATCTCCACGCCTTCCTCAGGGTGCTGTGAGACGGCGCCCCCGCTGCACCGCTGCACCGCCTTGTCCACAGAATTTCACCGAGGGCCCTGGTGACGGCTCCCCTTCATTCCTGTGCTTGCTCCCTGCCTCTTTCATTTTTTAGCACGTGGAAAATCTGTTAAGGGGAGAAAGGTGGAGTAGCTGCAACAAGGCTCATTCATACGAGGGCCCCTTTCCCTGGAAATGCTCTTTCCCCAGAATTTTAGCCAGAAAGTACTAGTTCAAATGCTGCCAGGCAAGCTGTGCCCTGTCAGCCTCCGTTCCCACCATCTGCAACCTGAGGATATTAATGTCTTAGACGGATGCAATAAATGATATAATACTGATCTCCCCTGCAGGGATGTTATATTGCAGACACATGCACAACGCACTGTGAACACTCCCGAATGCCGGACCCTCTTCTGAACCACAGCTTTGTATTCCAGCATCCATACAAAAGAAGACGAGCGGATGATGCTCAGAGACAAGGGACATGGCCAAGAAATTCACTCTGTGGCAAAGACTGTGGGGTGGGTGGGGGTCTGAGTCTCAAATGTCACATCATATCTCTGCCCCTGTTCCACAAGGCCTAACAAAGCATCCCTTTCATTGAAGGCTTGCTGAAAAGATTTGGAGAAACCAGCGCGGGTCCACCTCAAAAAGTCAGGGAAGAAAACAAACACTGAGGTAAAGTACACACCCACAGCACTAGAAAAGCACCACACGTTGTTCTCTGTTAACCCCTCAGGTCCCTACCTCTTCAAACATTTCTTTTGTGTTTTTCGGGGCATGTGGGTGGGTAGTCTTCAAAGCAACAGGCTCACCTACTGTCACTCACCAGCTCTCTTTTTGCAAGAAGGCCTCCGGAGCCTCTGGGCACATTTATAAAGAAAAGAAAACAAAAAGCCCCTCAAGGCCACTTCCCTTTACACTTTACAGCCTTCAAGTTTAACAAAAAAAAGCTAATTTTAAAACCTCTTTTAAACATCAAATAAAAACTGGGATGCAAGGATTTTGTTAAATATGTTCCATCTATGCTTCACAGTTGCCAAGCGTCTTTTCTTCTATCATCCACCACGGCCTGAGCCAGATACAATTTTAGAAATATATAACCATTTTGTTTCACTGGGGCCGATGCTCATTAGCATGTAACACACTTGTGTGAACATGCGTTAAGACAGGTGTGCAAATCCCCTTTCCCCAAAAGATCCCGATTTGGCAAAAGCTGGTCTGCTGTGGAATCCATAGAAATCTACGCACTTTTGCGCCTCTTATGGTTTTCTCTGACCTTGCTATGCTTCCCAAAAAGCTACCCTGGAGCCCCAGTTTTACACAGCCAGTAGCTTTGCGTGGTAACTTTTGTCCCTTGACTGGATCTAAACCAGCAAGAAAGAGGGATTTGACCAAAAAAGAAAAGAAAACGGTGACACTGACACAGCGATTCGAGGATAAACAGTCTGGCAAGATGGTTTCCCCGCCATTTCTTCTCCACTGACCCACCGAGCTGGGTAATAGTGTTGGACTGGAGGCCCAGGCGATCCGGGTTCTACCACCTGGAGTGGTCACCAAAAAGACCCTGCCTCACATTGCCAATCTCAACTGAAGGGCCTCTCCCAAAGATTTTGAGAACCAGAAAGGCTCACATGGGAGAAGGTGGCTTTCAGTTCCCTGGGCCCCAAGCCACAGAGCAGGGGCCAGCTATAACCAGGGAGCCACATGCTCCTGTAACCAGTCTGGCTACAGCCTTTGGGAACAGCTGCAGTTTCCAAACAGTGTTCAGAGCCAGAGCGCATGACCGTGGTCCAGACGGGATGCAATGCATGCATGTGCAACCGGGGCCAGATCGGGCGTGTGTTGGGATAGGTGCGAAGACGCTCTGGCCACCACAGACCCCCGGGTGTCCACCTTCCAAGCCTAGTCCTGGGGTGCACGCAGACGGGAAGCCCTGAATCTGCAGGGGAGCTGGGCCCCATGTCCCACAGGCTGGGCACCTCTAGGAGTAGGTGTGGCTGGCCATTTCCACATCATAGTAAAGGGAGAGTGGAGGGGAAAGCATCGCAGCCTTCCTACTCAGCCATTTGGCTCCCGTTCCAGCATCTTGAGTGTACACCCACCTCAAAATGTTTGGATGGATGCCTAGGAAAAAACAGCATGAAATTATGGCTTTAATTCCTGGAGCACTGGTTTGAAGAAAAGCTTTTCAAATGAAATTTCTTGTAAAACGTAATGAATAAAATTGCAGCCCTCCCCTTTCTCTCTCTCTCTCTCTCCCGCTCTCCCACTCGCTAGTTCTAATAAAGTTCCATTTTTTAATTATATGGCTGGGGAGAAAGTTTCGGCTGGATCTGGGAAGGGGTAATTTAAAAAAATATATCAGCACTCTAGTTCATTCTGATCATCTCTCTCTGGATTAGCTTAACCCGGACCTTTCTTTGGCAGATGAAGAAAGCAGAAACTGCAATTAAAGGCATGGCTGATAAACTGGGTGGGCAGCGCGTGACCTCCGAGATACTGGCCCTTCGCGCATGGCAAGAAAGACACCCAGGAGAAGCAGGCACATCTGAATGTATCCTGGGACAGGTCCCCTGAGGTGGGCAGGACTTGGGGGTCACGGGAGTGGATCCTGCCGGATCTGGTAGATCTTCATGGAAGAGACCTCACAGGCTGGCAGGCCAGTCCAGAATGTGGCTCAGGAGCGACCAAGGGGGCAAAATCTTTTATGGGGAGAGGGCAACGTGCAGGAGGCCAAGACAGATGGAAGCACAGCTCTGCCTCACGTTCAGCCCCTGTTCTTGTGAACACGACAGAACTGGGGCAGCAGCTGATCTCACAGAAGCTGCTTGTAGTAACAAGAGAGGCTCTGTGTGTGTGTGTGTGTGTGTGTGTGTGTGTGTGTGTGTGTGTGTG